TCTAGGTGGTGGTAAGAAATTGAACCATTTTGGGTCAAATGGGTTAATCCATGTTGCCACAATTAAATAATAAAATTCAAAAATAGATAAAATGCAAAAATGTAAAAAATAAAAATAATTGGGAACATTTTAGCATCATATATTCAACATATTAAACAATAATAAGTATGATAAATAAGGAATGTTTTTATTAATGATGGAAACTGAATGTAAAATTTAAAACTAATTGGATATATTCTCTCATTAAACCCTATATTTAAGATATATTTTTTCATCATTGAATTCTATGGATTAAAGACACAACATTAATTTTAATAGTATAAAAATAAATATTTTGAAAATTAATTTGAAACCCATGTTTATCAAATACTTTTTAACAATATGAAACCCATGTTTTTTAAGGGGTAAAATTCTAAAACCTCCCCTAAAATTTTTGACCATTGCTGAAAACTTCCCCTAAAGTTGGGTAATTGTAATCACCTCCAAACATTGTAACATAGTAGGAAGTAGGCCCCTTCTCTTATAATCCTCAAACAAGAGGCATGAAAATGTCCAAAATCATGGTTTTAAAAAATGACATGGAAATGGAACTGTTTTGGCCACCGATTTCCAGGCCAATGGTTCGATCGTTTGATTCGAATGGACGACCCATTCTAACAACAAAAATTAAAAAAATATAAAAAAAATAATTTAAAATATAAAAAAGACCAAATAACCGTTGAACAGGTCGATGGTTCTATTGCCCGGATCAGCGGGTCGTTGACCGATTCAATGGTTTTTGGCCAAGGACCAGGGTTGGGGTAAAATGGAATCGATTGCCCGGATCAACGGTTCAATGGTTCTATTGCCCGGACCAGGGTTGGCCAACGGGGCCGGAGTCCAAGAATGACATAATGAATTACCTAGATAGTGAAGAAGGTAAAGACGAGGTGTCCTGAAGGATGGAGAACCTGGGAAAGTCCTGAAGTATTGGGAGCTTGGGAGCTGAGTTCACTCGATAACAACGGCGTCTAAGTTCAAAAGACGGGGAAAGTCACCACCAGGGCCCCTATTTAAAGGAAAATGGATGGCCTAGATCTCACTAGATCCGACGACTGAGGCACCTCCGCTTCCATCATCCAACCATGTTGGCCAAGGACCAGGGTTGGCCAAGGACCAGGATTCAATGGTTCTATTGCCTGGATCAACGGCCATCTGGGTCAATAACGGTTTGAAAACCATGTCCAAAATAACCATGTAGTTAATTTGACTAAAATGTTTATTTTCCAAATTTTCCCTTCATATCAATCACTACCCCAAATCCTTCTTTTTTTGTTGTTGTTGTTAATAAAGTTTGTATTGTTTGTTATGCAAAAACTAGCCTCAATAGTAACTATATGGGTATTTTGGACATTTGTGTGCCTCTTGCTAAAGAATTTTAAAAGAGAGGGGTCTACTTCCAACTGTATTATAAAGTTCAAGGGAGGCGATTGCAATTACCAAACTTCAGGGGAGATTTCAACAATGGCCAAAAATTTTAGGGGAAGTTTCAGCAATTTATCCTTTTTTAAAATTAACAAAAAAAAAATTATTCTTCCATCCAAGTGGTGGGTAAGCCAATTCAACCATCCCGGTTAATTGGGTGAATTCACAAAATAAAAAAATGTATAAGAATTGGCCATTTCTTTGATATTTTATTAATCATATTAAAGAAAAATAAGGCTCTATTTGGTTTGTGGGATGGAGATGAGAAAAAGGAAATATTTCAAAAATATTCTTTTTTCTCTTATTTGTTTTGAAGGAAATAGAGGGATGGGATGAGAAAAAGGTGGGATGTGAGATCCCAAAATCGTGGAATCGGGGTCGCACCAAAACAATGTAACCCCGATGGAAAAACTCGAGAAACCACTGTTCATTGCCTTCCAGCGACCATGACGAACAATGATGACGATGAATGACTCAGTTACTGATTCTCTACGCAAACGTAACGGTCTCGTTCTCTGTATTGCATCCTTCCCAAATGACTCCGAATCTGCCTACGAAGCTGCATGCAATCTCTCGCAACTTTCCACATTCTCGGCTTGCATTTCTCTCCTTCACTTCCAGAACCCGAATTCCACACCGTAGTCTCTAAATCAGAGCTCTCGATGCTGCTCAACCCTATGATTACGAAGCAAAGAGAAATGACCACTTAGAGAAGAGCACGAAGCTTAAGATTGCCATTATTGGGTTCGAAAATTTCGGCCAGTTCTTGGCTAAGACGTTGGTTCTACAAGGCTACACTGTTTTAGCACATTCTCGATTGAACTATTTGGCCACGGCTTGTGAATTAGGAGTTTCGTTCTTTTCTGATCCTGATGATCTCTGTGAAGAGCACCCAGAGGTAATCCCTTACCTGTACTTCAATTACTTCCACCAAGTCCGTTCTTAGGTCGTCTACATAATGAAGCAATTAGAGAGGTTGAGTCTAGCTTTTGAGTCACTAAAGAAGCAACTTTTCGGTCATCTACATAATGAAGGAGCGGATCAATGCAGCGGCAGAGGAGGCGGCGGTGGCAAGAGAACCAGGCAGCAGTGATTTGCTCCCATCGATCTGCTACCTTCCCTGTTTTCTGTCTCTCCCTTCATCTTCCTCTTCTCTCTTCTTCCTCACCTTCTTCTTCTTCTTCCAACGAAGAACCGGGTCATGACAGTGCTTTTCCCATTATTTTCTAATATATAAAATCAAACACTGGAAAGTTAATTTTTTACACTTTCCCATCCCATCCCATCCCACCCAAAACTTCCCACAAACCAAATGGAGCCTACGTGTCATAAACAAGAATTGTTTTTATTGATAATGGAAATGAAATACAAATTCAAAACCAACCAAAAAATGAAATTGATTTCCTATTTGGTGGTCAACAATTCAACTCTTAGGTCAAATGTGTCAATATTTGAAGTCATAATTAAATAATAAAAAATAAAAAATGAAAAAGATGAAAAATACATAAATTTTTCAAAAAAAAAAAACATTTGAGTGCATCTCTAATAACTGTATAATCCATCTTATAAAATAAAAACAAGTTCCATAAATAAGAAATACTTTTGTAACATGAAAAGATTTGAATTTAGTCTCTTTTTAATTGTGAGGCCGAAACATGTAATTTAACTATTATGTTTCACCTCATTCAAATCTCTCTCATTAAGTCATATATTTAAGGTGCTAACGCCCATATGGTGGAATGGGATGTTGATTTCCATTCTTGGGGAAATAGCCATTCTAGGCTTCCCCCCTGGGAATGGGATTCCCATACGAGAGTCTATCAAAAAATAAAGAACTCATGACAAAATACATAATAATAAAAATAAATACATAATTAAATAATAAAATATTATGAAAGTAATAATAATGATAAATATTAGTAAGATATTTATAAAATAATCATACTATAATAAAACATTAATAAAACAATAAGAAAATAAGAATAAAATACAATAATATAATAAATTATTAATAAAAATAATAATGAAAAGATTATTCAAGTAATAATAATATAATGATATTTTAATAAAATATTCATAAATAATGATAAATACTAATAAAATAATAAAAACAAAGTAATAATAAAAAGCTAAAATATTATTTACTAAACAATAGGAATAATTAAGTAAAAATAATATATATAATATAATTAAAGTAATAATAAAATGCTAACATATTAATTATTCAATAATAATAAATTAATTCTAAAAGAATAATCAAAATGATAAAAACTAATAAACTAATTAGAAAGTAATAATAAAATGTAATAAATTAATAATAAAGACTAAGGTATTAATTATTAAATACTAATAAAATAATAATAACAAGGTACTATTAAAATAATAATTATATATCATAAAATATTACTAAAGTCATAAGAAAATAATAAATAGACTAATAAAATTACTTTTGGTCCTATCCACAAATCAAACGAACCCTAAATCTCATTTTGTTTCAACATTGAACAAAAAAATGAAATTGTCCTTTTGTCTAGGTAGTAGGTAAGCAATTCAACCATCTGGGTCAAATAGGTCAAGCCATTATGTCATAATTAAATAATAAAAATTAAAGAAATACAAAAGTACAAAATATACAAAAAATACATAATATTTGTAGAAAACATTTAGAACATCTCTAATATAGAATTATTTTATAGACATAATATTACTCTCTTTGGGACATTTAGAACATTTAGAACATCTCTAATTATTTTAATGTATATTACTAGCTTTATCATCTAAAATTTCCACGTGCAAATTTACTAGTATATATATATGTAAATATGTAGACAACATTTACATATATACACATATGTATGTATTAAATATATATAGTAGGGCCTGACTCGGAACGGGTTCGGGCTACCTAAGGGATAGGCTTAAGTCCGGCCCAAAAAATAAAAAAAGCCCGACTTCTTGGGCCCAAGCCCAGCTCAAGGGCCAAAAATCGAAACCCAGCCCATATAAAATTCCGGGCTGGGCCCTCCCAAGTTGCACTCCTAGTCCCAAATTGAAATTGTGCCTATACCCTTAACTTAATACCTATTATTTTCTTGTATTTATCATAAAAAATATATTTAATTTTTTATAACTGTCGACTATAAACGGGTCCTTATCGGGTCAGACTGATAATCCAGATCACAAGGTTGAGTTCGTGTAGATCCGGACTCAACCCGACCCATTGTCATCAGTAAATATGAGAATTGAAAACCCTTCTTTAACAAGCAATGCTAGTAGCCCAAGTGGGAAGCCCAGCTCAACCCTTTCAGGCTACAACTAAGAATCCTGTAACGTCTTTTCCATTAATGTTCACTCTCTCTCCCATTAAAATCTCCATTTAGAAAAGGGGTGATAGCATATAAGGGTAATAGCATATAATCTCCATTTAGAAAACACCAGTGAAAGAAACTGTGTGAGAGAGAGAGAGAGTAGAACCCATGGCTGCTGGGATTGCAGGAATTGACGAAGAGTGGAACAGCCAGCAGGAAAATGGAGTTATGCAAGTAGCGAAGAAGGATGTCGAGAACGATAACGTTTCTTCGTCTTCCAACCAGGCTTCCGAGAAAGCCTTCGAGAACGAGATCGTGCCTTCATGGAAAGATCAGGTTACGTTCAGGGCAATCCTGGCTAGCGCTGTTCTGAGTGTGGCCTTCTGCTTCATCGTCATGAAGCTTAACTTGACCACCGGGATCATTCCTTCGCTGAACGTCGCTGCTGGTCTCTTGGGTTTCTTTTTCATCAGAGTCTACACGTGGGTGCTTGAGAGGTTTGGTTTGTTGAAGCAACCCTTTACCAGGCAAGAGAATACTGTCATCCAGACCGCCGTCGTTGCCGCCTCCGGCATTGCTTTTAGCGGTAAGTCTTCCTACGTCCGACGCTTTTAATGATATTGTCTCCTTTGGGTTAGTCCTTAATGCTAGCAAAAACGTCAAAATTGGGTCTGTTTCGACTATAATCAGCTATGTCCGATCGTCGCCGGCATCTGGCTTTCTGGTTAACCGTACTTCATCCGGAGTTTAGTTTTGGAATTATTTTTTTATTTTTTATTTTTTCTTTCATCCAACTCTCTCTATAAGCTGGTTATTTTGCAGTAGCCGGGGGGAGGTAGGGAATAAATATATATGTTGAGGCTAATTTGGTCATGCAAGAAATACGAACATAAGTTGGTAAACTTATCAGTGGTTGATTTCTTCCTTTAAAAACCCGGAGGTTTCTTCATTTGACATATATGCCCATGGTTCTTTTCCGGGTCGGTTTGGTTTGTGAGAATTGGGGTATGGAGTTGGAATCAGAATGATGCATTTTGATTCCAATGTTTGGTTGGGTGGAATTCGAATTTCATTTATTTTTCACTTTTTCATTCCTGGTGGATTCACAGGAATGAATCCACTCCAGTGATTCAAATTCTGATTCTGATTTTGATGTCAATCAAACTGATAGAAGGAATAGACCATTCTTATTCTGATTCCCATTTTGATTCCAACTGAAAACCAAATGTACCCTCATTATTTTTGTCTTTCCATGTTTTCAGACTTGCAATCTGCAAAAGATAGCTTTTCAATTGGGTCAAGAATTGGGAAAGTATGTCATTAAAAGAACAGTTAGAATGAAGAGAAAAGTCTGGCGATCATCTCCTGACATGAAACCCTTGCCCTCTCATACATGAAATTACAGGACTATCCACCATGACCTGTGACACGATTTATAAATTTTAGAAGCTACCTCTCTCCTTAAACCTCCAAACCCATACCTGCCCCAAAACCCAATGCCCCCTTGATCCTATTCTTTTCGAATTCAAGGGTAGGGGTGGATTGGGTTTAGAACCTTATCTAATTTCCTATTATTTCTTATCTTATAAAAACAATAAATAAGTAAAACAATACAAATAAATAATAAAATTTTTAATTATTTGATTAAGACATAAAAAAACACATAACTTATCAATTATCCTTCATATAAAATTCAAAATACTATTAAATTCAAGACCTAGTACATAAAGTTTATATGCTTTTCCAACAATATATATGTGGGTCGAGGAGGGTCAGGTTTAGCCTAATAAATACCCTACATGTACCTGTATGGGTTGTAGAATCCCAAAACCCATCCCCACCCCAAAACCCATTCTTCAAGCAAAAAAACCCGCCCCAGCGGGAAGGGTAGGGATGGGTATCCATCAGGTAAGGTAGAAATTGCCATCCTTTTGCAGATCATATTCATAATTTCAGTCCAGGCTAGGGCATCAATTACTCTTGGCCCATAATATGAAGAGGCCCAACTTGATTTTGAATGAAGCTAGGATGGGGCTTGGGCTTGGGCCATAAATGTGACTGATGGGTCTCAACTCTCCATATTATCAGTTTATCACTAGCCAAATAGCCTTGAACCATACAATCATCTTTTCAAGTGTAAATTTTTGGGGTTATTTGAGTTCAATCCAGCTCAGAATTTCAAATGCGATGGCACAGTTTGTGTCAGTTCAGTTGTGTCAACAGGAATATGCCCAATTCATGGGGATGCTGTTTGCAGGGTGGCTGGAGATAAATATATTTGGAGAATTAATTTATGAATTTTGAGGTGGGGTGGACCGTAAAAAGGCCTAAATTTTTGTATAATGAACTGAAGCCAACTAGTTTGATTTTTCCCTTAATAAAAATGTTTTAGCTATCAGCATTGGAAATTTTTATTGATTAGCCCCTGGGTGATTATCAGGTGGATATGGAAGTTACATATTGGGAATGATGCCCAAGGTTGCAGCTCAAGCACAAGATGGGGCCACCACAAACAATGTGAAGCATCTTTCCTTAGGATGGCTGTATGGGTTTCTCTTTGCCGTGAGCTTTGTTGGTCTTTTCTCCATTGTTCCCCTGCGCAAGGTAATTCTTGAAAATTTAAACATGTATGGCCCACCAATCTGTTGGAGACATGGGGTCCAATAAAATAGATTTTTCAGCCTTTGGATTATTCCATCATCAGTGTTATTTGCATTCAGGCAATGAAGATAAATCCTGGGTTTTATCTGATCAATTGTTTGAAGTTAATTACCAAAATGGTATGATTTCAATTTCCCATGTCAACTAAAGACGGTGAATGACCTTTTGCACTAATTTTGTCACTGGGAAGAACAAAAAGAAGGTTTCTCTGTATTATTTTTCTTGGGTTACACTGATTTACACTGATTGAAACTTAGCTTCATCATTTTGATAGAAATCCAAATGGATGAGTGATTAATTAAAATAAATATAAAAGAAAATAAAATATAATAAGTATTTTGGCAGTTTGGCTTTGTGTGAGTACCAAATCAAAAAGAAAATAAAGGGAGAAAATCACCTCCTTTCATGATCAGATACGGAACCGTTTTAACTATCAGTTCCTGAATCAAATGGTTCAATCATTTGGTCTAAATCCTGTTTGGATGGTTTTAGGGTCCAAAACCAGACCTGGACTCATCACCGGTTTTTGGGTCAACCGGTCCAACTGTCCAGAGTTTTCAAAGCCATGTTATTTTTTTATGCAATTTTCCCCAGCAATAATAACGATCAATAGAAAATACCATCGAATGCCTAAAAGTCATTTACAGAAGTTGCTGGACGGAAGTTGAATACAAAGAGGACCCAAAGGGCACAACTTGCCACTAGAGGAAATATTTTGCAGAGATTTTGTTCATGGTCCTTAAGGTTGCATTTGGTTGGGAAGATTTTGGTAGGATGGGAAAGGATAGGATGAGAAAGGAAAAACAGGTTGAAAATTATATATTCCATTATTTGGTTGCAAAAGGGAAAATCGTGGGAAAATTAACCATAATAACAATAATTAATTAATAATTAGTAATATTTTATTATTAACTGATTTTGTAATAAATTATTTAATTAATTAATATTTTAAAATTTATTTTATTAATATTTACTATGAATTAATTAATAATTTTATTTTATTAATATTAGAAGTTCCCATATTAATAATTTTCTCTTCTTTCTTATTTTTATCTTTCAGATCATGATCATCGATTACAAGTTGACCTACCCAAGTGGAACTGCAACTGCATTTCTCATCAATAGTTTCCACACTCCTAAAGGAGCCAAGCTAGCTAAGTAAGTAGTAATCACCTTCATTGAACTATTCTCCTAATAAATACCTATTACCATGTGCTTATCTCTTTTCTAATTCATCTAATTGACACCCATTTGCTTGCTTTCTAATTAATTCATTATTAATTTGAATTCAGAAAGCAAGTGAGTAAACTCTTCAAGTGGTTCTCCATTAGCTTCTTATGGAGTTTCTTCCAGTGGTTCTTCACTGGTGGTGATGGCTGTGGGTTTAGCAGCTTCCCTACATTTGGTCTGCAAGCTTTTCAGAAGAGGTATGCTATGCAAAACACAATTAATATGGAATACATACTGATATCATAGCAACAATCTTATCCTATTCTCTTCTGAAGCCTATTTGGGCCAATCTGATACAGAAATGGAACTGATAAGGGTCGTTAACTCCCGTATTTTAATTACATTACAAACTGTGTAAATGCCAAATTAGCTAAGCATACTTTCTAAGGTTGTTTATCTGTGATCATTGGAGCTATGTTCTCACTCATTTTCGTGTTGTTCTATAGGTTCTATTTCGACTTCTCAGCTACCTACATAGGTGTTGGGATGATCTGCCCTTACATGGTAAACATATCCTTGCTTATTGGAGCAATATTGTCATGGTTAATCATGTGGCCGCTGATAGAGAAAAAGAAAGGCATTTGGTATGCTTCTGATCTATCTGCTAGTAGTCTCCGTGGCATCCAAGGCTATAAGGTGTTCACTGCTATCGCAATGATACTTGGGGATGGACTCTTCCATGTTGTTTTGATGCTAATCACTACAACAAGGAGCCTCATGAATCAATACAAGAAGCAAGATTCACAGTCATCTTCAAACACTGATGTGATAAGTTATGATGACCAGAGAAGGAAAGAGATCTTCTTGAAAGACCAGATTCCAATGTGGATGGCAGGCTTGGGATATGTAGCCTTGTCTGTGATCTCTATCATTGCAGTGCCCCAAGTTTTCCACCAGATAAAATGGTACCAAATAATGGTTGCCTACATTATTGCCCCAATCTTGGCCTTCTGCAATTCATATGGCTGTGGTCTTACAGACTGGTCTCTGGCCTCTACCTATGGAAAGATTGCAATATTCATCTTTGGCTCTTGGGTAAGCCACCATAAGGGAGGCATAGTTGCAGGCCTTGCTGCCTGTGGAGTGATGATGAGCATTGTGTCAACTGCCTCCGATCTCATGCAGGACTTCAAGACTGGCTACTTAACCCTTGCATCCCCTCGCGCCATGTTCTGCAGCCAAGTTGTGGGGACAGCTCTGGGATGCCTCATTGCGCCTTCTGTCTTCTGGTTTTACTACAAGTCCTACCCCACATTAGGGGAGGTGGGCAGTTCGTATCCAGCACCCTATGCGTTAATGTACCGTGGAATCGCCATTCTTGGGGTTGAGGGAACATCTTCCCTCCCCAAACACTGCATGGAGATGGCTGTTGGGTTCTTCTTCTTTGCAATTGCCTTGAACTTAATCACTCTGCTCTTGGAACGCTTTGAGAACAAATGGGGACTTCACAGGTTCATTCCTAGTGTAATGTGCATGGCGATCCCATTTTATATTGGTGGCTACTTTGCCATTGACATGTGCATTGGGAGCTTGATTTTGTTCTTGTGGGAAAGAAAGAACAAGGCGGGCGCCAATGCATTTGCGCCTGCTGTGGCCTCTGGCATGATCTGTGGTGATTCATTATGGGGTATCCCAGCCGCAATCCTCTCTCTTGCCAATAGGAACTCTCCCCTCTGCATGAAGTTCTTGTCAGCTGCTACCAATGCCAAGGTTGATGCATTCTTGAATGGTTAATCAAGCGTAATGGAGTCAGGAATCTCCACATAGAGAGCTTGGTTTTGTAAATATGCAAGCCTTTCTCTTCAGTTTCCCTTTCATGAACTTTGGACCAGTTAGTTTGGTTGTCATAGGTTAAGTTGTTCTATTGCTATAATGCCATTGTAAACCTATTAGGTTATCATAGTAAATTTGATTATATTTTAGCTTTTCTTTTTCTTACCAGTAAAGGATGTGATTCATGTGAAGATGCTTTGACATTAACCAAAGTAAAAGCTTGAAGTTGAGGTAAGCCACCTTTTGCTTTTCCTCTTTTTCCTTTTGGTTGGGGTGGGGGATTTGTAATTACTGATGAGCAACTTCTATTCCTTGCGCCCAAGAGGAGGCCACATAGATTCACAAAAGATTGGTTTAAAGAGAGTTTCATACATTATAACTCTGTTGATTCTAGAATAGTTGTTCATAGAAACTACAAAGAGAACTAGAAGGAACTCTTCTAGACATTAGACAGTTATAACTAAAGTCCATCAATGGTTGGTGTAATGGTTAGCCACCTAGGCCAGGTTTTATGTCCCAGATATACACTGATCTATACTATATATATATAAAGAAAAGCAGTCCATGTCAGTAGCCCTCTCCTTTCTCCAAACCCCCATCCTGCTCTCTCTCTCTCTCTCTCTCTCTCTCTCCCATTTCCCCTTTCCCACCACTCCCATTCTGCCAATTAAGCACCCTCTCTTCCCTAGCCCGCCTTCTCATTAGGCCATGTTGATGTAAGAGGTCAGCTGATATTTAAGGAAGCATGTTATATATATGGAAACCATTAAATCAGCATTGGATATATGGAAGCTTAATTTTAGATGGAAAAAGCGTAATACGAATGGAAATAAGAGAACATGCGTCTGTAGGGTTCATAATGTTATTCCCTTTTCACAATCTTGACCCCACAAACTTTTCTTCCATTCCTGATCGAGCACCTGCCTTTGCTCCCAATCAAATGCCTCTATTTCAGATTGACCAAATGGCTGTTCTGGGGTCTCTTATCCCAGCCGAATTGAGTCATCTTCTTTCACAATCCACTTTCCTTCTACAGAGGTTACAATGGCATCATATACCATCGTTATTTTACTCTGATTTTGTTAGGTCCCAATCAGATTCAAGGCAACCAGAAATAAGACTTTCTTTTGGTGAAAGATAGACCAATTGAGAGAGAATAATTCAGCTTTCTCATTCCAGCTAGAGTGGTTACATAAATACTAGTTCCTATAACAACTTACTCCTAAATGTTAGCTAACTGACCTGAATTCTAGGAAACAGACTCAAAGCAAATCCATGTAACAACTTTCCTAATTACTAGCTAACTGACCTAAATTCTTGGGAACAGAATGTAACAACTTTCCTAATTACTAGCTAACTGTCCTTGAGAAATTCAAATCATAACTGAAATAACAGAACTTCAACAAATAGCTAGCTGACCAAGTCAATCCAGGAACTTAGGATTTTTCTTAGGAGCGTGCAACAACCTTCTGGGTTTATCAATACTTTCCCCGCCCGGAAGAACCTTATCCTCAAGGTTCAGTGCAGGAAATTGATTTTGGAGAAGCACTGCAGTTTCCCAAGTGGCATCTTCAATGGGCAATTGCTTCCATTTAACTAAATATTCTTGTAGGAACTTAGAGCCCTGCTTTATCCAACGTACGTCTAATATCTTCTCTGGAACAATTTGGAGAGATCCTTCCTCAGAAAGTGGTGGCAACTCAACAGTAGCAGGTAAGGGAGTCCCAACAAATTTCTTTAAGAGTGAAACATGAAAAACAAGGTGTATTTTGGCTTCCGAAGGTAAAGATAGTTTATAAGCCACTTTACCCAGTTTCTGTTCAATCTAAAAAGGGCCATAGAACCGACTGGCAAGCTTGTGATGAGCACGCTTAAACATTGTGTGCTGGAGGTAGGCATGTAATTTTAGTAGCACAAAGTCACCCACCTCGAAGTCCACATCTCTCCTCTTACTATCAGCAATAAGCTTCATTCTAGTGGCTGCCCTTTCTAGATTATTCTTTAATTGTTGGAGCACTTCATCCCGATGAAGAAGAATCGGATCTACCTCATAGACACGTGACAAACCATCTGTGAAACAGCCCCTTTTGAGAAGGTTAGTGAGAGGGTGAGCTATCAACCCATAATTTCGAACAAACTTCCTGTAGTAGCCTATCAAACCCAAGAATCCACACAGCTCAGTCACATTAGTAGGTTGCGGCCAGGCTATCATGGCCTCTATTTTCTTGTTATCAACCTTTACTCCCTGGGATGTCACCACGTGGCCCAAATACTCCCTCTCCTGCTTGCCAAAGTTACACTTGCTTGCTTTCACAAAAAAACTGTGATGTTTCAAGATGTCTAAGGTGGTGTGAACATGACTCAAATGTAAGTCCCAGGTAGGACTATAGATCAATATATCATCGAAGAAAACCAATATGAATTTGCGGAGGTGTGGACGAAATATAGAGTTCATAACAGCTTGGAAAGTGGAAGGGGCGTTACATAAGCCGAAAGGCATAACCAGATACTCAAAATGCCCATTATGAGTTCTAAAAGTAGTCTTCGGAATATCAAGGGCGTAGACTCTTACCTGATGATAACCCGCTCGAAGGTCCAGTTTTGTGAAGTAAGCTGCTCCATGTAATTCATCCAGCATGTCGTCTACGGATGGAATTGGAAACCGATCCTTGACAGTGGCTGCGTTGAGTGCCCTGTAATCTGTGCAAAACCTCCAGGACCCATCTTTTTTCTTCACCAGCAGAACGAGAGAGGAGAATGGACTAGTACTTCCATGAAAGATTCCCATATCCAACATTGCTTGCACTTGCTTCTCGATCTCTGCTTTTTGAAAATAAGCATACCGGTATGGGCGAACATTGATGGGCTGTGTCCCTTCTTTTAAAGGAATGTGATGGTTGATTTCCCTTAACGGCGGCAACTTGGTGGGCTCTTGAAAGATGTCTCCATACTCTCTTAATAGTTGCAACATATCTGTTGGAATGTCGTCCCACTGAAACTCTTCCAAGGCTTGAGCGTAAATTGCAAAAACCATCTGACCTTGGCGGTGTCCCTTCGTAGTAGCCTTTAAGAAAGTAGCTTGAAGCCCGCTTTGAATTCCTTGCAGCCAATGTGCTTGATTTTTCCATTTGAAATCCATTGTCAATTGCTTCCAGTTACAGACTACGGACCCCAACATTTCCAACCATTGAATTCCTAAAACCATATCCAACCCTACCAATGGTAGTGAATAAAATGTAAGTGAAAATGGAATTCCTTATAAGACTACTGGTACCTTATCAAACCGCCCCTGGAAGAGGAGTCGCTCTCCATTAGCTACATGGATTGTAAATGCCTTGGTTGGAACTACTGGCAGTCGTAAGGAATCAGCTATCCTATCACTCACAAAGTTGTGCGTGGAGCCACTATCAATTAGTATTGTTACCTCTTGCGTCCCAATTGTAGCTGTGATCTGCATAGTCCGTGGTGAGGTCCACCCCGTTATCGCATACATTGATATTTCTGGCTCCTCTTCCCCAATTAGCAGCGATCCGTCACCCCCACAGTTATCATCATGAGTTTGATTGTCGGTGTGGCATTCGAGGAGAAGGAGTTGCGGTTCTTGACATTTATGGCTAGCAGTGAACCTCTCATTGCAACCAAAACAGAGACCTTGAGCTCGTCTCTTTTGCATTTCTTCCCAACTCAAGCATTTAGGGGTCACTGGTGAAGTTTGCGGTGCTTGAGGGGCCTTTGTAGGAGAGAAGTACTGGGGAATTGGTCGGGCAAACCTCCGCTGTCGTGCGAGTTGTTCGTCCTTCATCCGTGCCAGCCCGATTGCCTCCTTTAAAGTCTTTGGTTTGAACATGCGAATACCATCGACGATTTCTGATTTCAGGCCTCCCATGAACGTTCCAACGAGAGCTCTTCAGAAAACATGAGAGAGAGCCTCATCAAAGTCTTCTCCATCTGTTGGTCCGAATCGAGCCCAAAGCTCTTCAGAAAACATGGACCATGTCACCGACTAGTTTTCCTCTTTGTATGTTTGACTCAGCTATTGACACCACTGGTTCGCTTCACCCTCTAAGTGAAAAGCCGCCAAGCACCTTTTGCTCCTCCAGAGTTCTCTGAAATTCAAAGTACTAAGCTACACGATTGAACCATTTTGTTGGATCATCTCATGAAAACCGTGGGAACTCAATTTTGGCTCGAGGGGGAAGAACGTTTAGTCTGTAGCTGTCTACTTCATCCTATTGGTGCTGGTGCGACTGACCCCACTCTACTGAGTGCAAAGTTGGAGATGCCTTTGAGGAGAGAACCGCATCAGAAAGAGCCCTCAGAGACTCCTCAATCCGCTGCATTCGCTCGCCCATTCCAAGCCCAAGCCGCTGCACTTCATCCTATAAGCCTCCCAACCCTTGCTCTAGTATTTCAATTCGCTCTTTGTTGGATGCCATTGTAGCTCTGATACCAATGTTAGGTCCCAATCAGATTCAAGGCAACCAGAAATAAGACTTATTTTTGGTGAAAGATGGACCAATTGAGAGAGAATAATTCAGCTTTCTCATTCCAGCTAGAGTGGTAAGATAGATACTAGTTCCTATAACAACTTACTCCTAAATGTTAGCTAACTGACCTGAATTCTAGGAAACAGACTCAAAGCAAATCCATGTAACAAATTTCCTAATTACTAGCTAACTGACCTGAATTCTAGGGAACAAAATGTAACAACTTTCCTAATTACTAGCTAACTGACCTTGACAAATTCAAATCATAACTGAAATAACAGAACTTCAACAAATAGCTAGCTGACCAAGTCAATCCAGGAACTTAGGATTTATCTTAGGAGCATGCAACGACCTTCTGGGTTTATCAGATTTGGGGCCTACGAACAATCCTTACTTTGCTCTGTTTTGGGGTCTCAATCTTAGACCGACCAACGACAAGTGACTATAACAACTGTTGTTTTACTCTTACTTAGT